ACTCTCTACCTCACTCTCCCACACACTCACTCAACTACATTCCCCCCACAAGTGGCTAGGCTTGCCCGATGCTTTTCAGACGCAGGTCTCTTCGTCGGAAGCGTGCTCGAGCTCCCCTTCAAATCCATCAGCCTAGGATATAAGCAGGAAAAGGCTCGCCTTGTGCTGGATCTAAAGAACTCAGCAGACCCGCTCATAAGGAGTGCGATGTCCCATCCGACAGGCCACAAATGGAAGGCGCAAGCAGAATGGAGCGTGCCATCTCCAGTCTGCAACACCGAGAAGTGATGGGGGCGTCCAGACCAGTCGTTGCTGGCTGGGCTGGGGAGCAGCGCCAGCAATTCTGGTCCAAAGCCACCAAGAGACAGCAGAAGACAATGGTGGTGGACGAAAATCTGCCAGACTGGAGAAGGAGCGCTTACATCTGAAGGCAATATCCCAGGGGCACACAAGGAGCCTGGACGAGATGGGATGCTACCATCAACAGGCGTATTACCTGGGCGGATATCTGGAGGACCCTCAATCCAGGCTCAGTTTCCTGTTGAGGGCGACCTACGACACCCTTCCATGCCCCAGGAACCTCAACACTGTGGTAATGGTGATGAAGTGGGCTGTCATCTGTGTGGGGAGCGCCAAGGCAAGTCTCCGACACACTTTCAGGGACGCTTCAGGTGGCGCCATGATGCAATCCTGACGAAACTGGCCGAGATTCTGGAGGGCGGTAGGGTTGCAGCAAACCAGTCACCGGCAACAGAAGAGCATGCCCTGACAGTATTTGTAAAGCCTGGCGGTATACACAATTGCCTGCCCAAGGGAGAAGATCAGCATGCTCGCACCTGGTAAAGAGTGGCAGATGCTGCCAGACCTTAGGAAACAGCTGGTCTTTCCAAGAGAGATCATGACTACACTCTCCGACCAGACATAGTCGGCGATCGAGCTAACCATCCCCTGGGAGGAGAATATGGCAGCAGCCCACGAAAGGAAGCATCAGAAGTACGCCGAGTTAGCAGCGGAGTGCAAAGACGCTGGCTGGAAAGACAACGGTTCACCCGGTGGAGATCGGCTGTCGAGGGGCTTTGTGGGCAAAGCAGCAGTCCAGCTGCCACGTGGAGTGGGCGTAACAGGCTCAAGGCTGAGGAAAGCCCCGGGGTGCTGGGAGAGGAAGCGGAGAAAGGGAGCTACTGGCTTTGGTTGAGGAGGAAAGAGATGCGGGTTGTGGGATCATCACCCCAGTAATGGCAGCTGCAGGGGGTGGCGGGGAGACGTCCCCAGCATGCCACCGGCCCCCCCGCCTGGAGATGTACTGGTCGTGGGGGCGAAACATCTATGGACGGCGGTGTCCAGCTGATGACCCTGCAGCTGTCCAATTGGCACCGGAGGAGGTGCGTCAGGCTTGAAAAGCCAGAGCAGGTAATGCCACCTCACCTGTACAACAAACTCACCTCACTCTCCCACACACACACTCTCACCTCACTCTCCCACACACACACTCACCTCACTCTCCCACACACACACTCTCTCACCTGACTCTCCCACACAACACACCACCTCACTCTCCCCACACACACACTCACCTCACACTCCCACACACCTCACCTCACCTCCTCTCCCACACACACACTCCTCACTCACCCACACACACTCACCTCACCTCACTCCCACACCACTGACTCACCTCACTCTCCCACACACACACTCCTCACTCACCCACACACACACTCACCTCCACTCTCACCCACACACACACTCACCTCACTCTCCCACACACACACTCACCTCACTCTCCCACACAAACACTCCCCACACACACACTCACCTCACTCACCCACACACACACTCACCTCACACTCCCTCCACACACACACTCACCTCCACTCCTCCCACACACACACACTCCTCATCTCCCACCACACACACTCACCTCACTCTCCCCACACACCACACACTCTCCCTCACTCTCCACACACCACACTCACACCTCACTCTCCCACACACACACTACTCTCTCCTCACTCTCCCACACACACACTCTCCACTCACTCTCCACACACACACACTCTCACCTCACTCTCCACACACACTCTCACCTCACTCTCCCACACACTCTCACCTCACTCTCCCACACACACACTCTCACCTCACTCTCCCACACACACTCTCTCTCTCTCACTCTCCCACACACACACTCTCCACTCTCACTCCTCCCACACACACACTCTCACCTCAACTCTCCCTCACACACACACTCTCTCTCACACTCACCACACACACACTCTCTCCTCACTCTCCACACACACACTCTCACCTCACTCTCCCACACACACACTCTCACCTCCACTCTCCCACACACACACTCTCACCTCACTCTCCCACACACTCACTCTCACACACTCACCTCACTCTCCCACACACAAAACACTCTCAACCTCACTCTCCCACACACACACTCTCCAACTAACTCTCCACCACACACACACTCTCACCGTCACTCTCCCACACA